GGAGCCCGCGGATCGCCGGCTCCGCTCCTCGAGATAAATCCACATTTATCAGTATTTTGGTTTTTTTTTCCCTTCCCCGCAATCACGCCTGGACTCCGTAGATTTGTGGAAAAAGCACCCCTAAAAAAAAGACTTTAATTGGAGTTTTTGGGGAGCATCAGCCGCGGAAGATTTGGCAGCGGGGCGGATCCGGCGCTGCCGCGATCGCCACAAAATCGAGGGCGATCTAAAAAAAAAAACCCACAACAAACCCAACTATTAAAACATGAAAATTTACCGCCCTCAATGTATATTTTCCCGTCTTGGAAAGTTTTAATGGCCCCAATTAAGTTAATTGATGATTCCCCTCGTAAAACGCTCAGAGGTGGCGAGTGCGCGCTGAGATTTTTTTTTTTTCCCTTTTCTTTTATTTTTCGCTCGAAAATAAGAACACTCTTCAGAGATTTCTCCCCCGCCCCCTTCCCCATTTTCTCGGGAGCTTTGCAATGAAATCCAAACACTGACACTTCTCCCCCAGCTCCGCTTTTCCCGCGTGGGGGCTGTTTGGGTTGGTTTGGGTGGGTTTTTTATTTAAAACGCATTTTTATTATTATTGCGGGGGGGGGGGGAAACTTTTTTTTGGCTTTTTTTCCTCTTGACAAACGCCTTTGCTCCATTTGCGGGTTCTCCTCGCGGGGAGCCGGAGGAAGACAGCCCTAAATGCTCTCTCTTTTTAAGTGTTAAAGAAAGCTTCCACCCTGCGCCTGTTTCTTTCTATCGTCTGCTTGGCATTTAATAATGTTAAGACTTATTAGAGCTGGTAATGAAAACTGTGGCTGTTGAATAGGGAGCTGTGTTGGAGAAGGGTGTAATAGCTCCAAGGCATGCTAAGAAATGTATTTATCCCCAATCAGTACTCACTCTCTGAGTTCCCAGCACAAACGTTAAGTTGAAGGGTTTTAAGGCAGATTAAATTGAGCCTTTATTTCTTTGCACTTTCATCTTTAAACGGCTCACTCCAGCTAGCCCTGGGCATATATTCATGAGGCTTCACTTTATTTTTTATTTATTTTTTTTATAGCCTTGTTAAGACCGAGTTATTATTATTTGGGGTTGTTGTTATTTGTGATGACTGGTGGGGTTTAGGAGGGAGGGTCACGCGTGGGTGATGCGCGTTTCTCCCGCACCCCGCGGATCCGAGCTGCTCGGTGGGGATGGGGAGGGGGGTGTGG